CACGTGACCCGGTTTTGTCTTTTTTTGCCTTGAACGCATGTCCCGCATGCCTGTGCGATTTTCGGTGCATACAGCTTTGTGTTCAAGAAACAACACGCATTCTCTCTCTCATCTGCCTTGCCATGCCTGAGCCTGACCCCGAAGCCTTCGCAGCCTTCATGGCAAATTTCCAGCAGATGACAGCCGAGAATCAGGATGCCTTGGCCCTTGACTCTCCTCACCTTGAGCCGTGTGCAAATCCGCTCAAGCAAGCCACCCTTTAAGCGCCGCCAGCGCCGTCCGAGCCTTCCAAAGACGAAGCAATGCCTTCGGCAGCAGTTGAAAAGCCCAGCGCTGCACCGTCACAACAGCAGCCGTGCACCTGGGCTTCGATTGTTTCGAGCCTTTTGACCTGGACCACAACCAGGTACACGATATCCTCGACAACACAGTTTTCAGAAGCCCTGCTCAAGCTGTGTTGGTCAGGATTGACTGCCCTCATCATGCTGGCCCCGCCTTGCAAGGAGTACTCTAGATTAAAACTCAGACCCGGCGGCCCAAAAGCGCTCCAAACGCCGCAGCGCATGAACGGCGTGCCCGGCCTTTCGCCTTCACAGTTGAAGAGGCTTCAGGATAGCCAAGCTATTCATGAAAGGGGCAGAGCCTTGTTCATTGCGGTCGTTTCCAAAGGAGGCGTCGGAATTTGGGAACAGCCGCCCTCTGCCATGTCTTGGCTAGAAGAGGCTAATTTTCACATGCTCCGCGAGCATCTGCAGTCACACATACAAGCACACAAGCATTGCTGGAGTGGTCGAAAATTGGGTCTTCCTCAGCACCCTGACCGCTGAGTATCGGAGTCGCTGGCACGCCAACTGGCGGCAGTGGGCGCAGGAAGGGTGTCCAAAACAGGGGTGGTGACTGCGCAGCTCCCTTCCAGCGCAGCCAGCCTCGCGCCGTGCCGACTCCCGTCTGCGACGGTGCGGGCATGCGTTCGACTGCAGACTGGTGCTGCCCGAACCCCGACCACCCGCTTCAAGCCGTGGCACGGCCCCTTGGCTTCGCTGGCTCCATGAGCGCAGCGTGGTGCCACGGATAATAGCACATGTCAGCCAGGGGAACCCGGACGGAGCAGGAATGCTCCGAAGCCGTGCCTTCCGATTTGCGTCCCGCGAACGGACAGCCCTGCCGTCTGAAATACCACCCAACTCATGAAGATTTCTGCTCAAATCGTCCGTCCGCCCACTCATTGTAGCGCCCTGGCAGGTGAGTCGGTTGCAGAAGGTTTTTGGCATGCGCCCAAGAGGCGACAAGCTGCACAAAAACTTGGAATGGCCAAGATGTTGTGAACATCTTGTTAATGCCTGCTTCTGCTGCCGAGTTGTCAGTGCTGAGGGCATGCTAAACGAGTAGCGCCGCCTCCAATGTGGCTGTGCGTGGCCTGGAGGAGCGCCAGTTGCGCTAGCGTCTCGAAGCACGCGATGTAGCGCTGCGCAGGCTTGGAAACGCAGGGCCACACTCGACGGACATCCTGCATAGTCCAGGTTTCTGCGAACCACACCACTTGCGAGGATGTGACTGCCCAACCACCTATGCCCACTAGGTCTTCTTCAGCACAGTGGGGCTGCTTTGCTAAAGGCTGTATGGGAGAGTGCTTGAGGCACGACCCCAGCCATTCCAGGCAAGCTTGGTTGGTTTTGGAGAGGGCGGTGAAAGGGTTGCTTGGGTCGGCTATGCGGACCCACATAGGCTTGCTGGTGCCTGGAATGCGTGGGATGTCCTCAGTGCACGGTGCTACCCGCGATTTCCTAAAATTTTGGAACCTGCCGAAAGCCAACTGGGCAGGCTGCTGCCTATTTTCAAATCTGTTGATGATAGGCGGGAGAAGACAAAATTTAAAGAACGCGAAGAAGATCCAGACCTTGTACTTTGCTTGGCATTTCATTTCTCTTGCACGCTTTACTTTTCACTTGCATTCACTATGAAAAAAACCAATTGGGCGTCAGGAATAAGCTGAAATCCGCAGCAACCTTGTTGATTTCCGAAAAGCCGGCCACAATTGCGGCTGGATGAGACCTGGCTGCGATGGCAGAGTTTGCGCTCAAACTCCACGCATCAGGAAAATGGACTGATGAAAGCCGTTGCATTAAGGTATCAGCGATGCCCTCGCATTGCCTGTCCCTGTGCTTCGTTCCGCCGCAGGTGCAACCCCGCACTGAAGAGGGGGACTTTGCGCCTTGGCCTCAATTGCCTGTTTCCGGGGTTGCCTTGGGAAGCGCTGAAGGAGGGGAACATCTCGCCCCTTGTCCTAGGTGCGCCGCAGTGCCCTAGGAAAGTGCTTCCCAAGCAACCCGGTAAAAAAGGTGTGCGCCTTGCTGTCGGCTTTTGGGTTCTGAGTTCTTTGTGGTTTGAGGCTAGGAGCAGTGCGCGGGACCTTTAACGCTAAGGGTTTTCTTTTCCCTTGTGTTTTATAGGTCTGGGGTGAATCTCCTACGCCGCCGCCATTTGGTGCTCCTAGCCCTCAAACTCACGTTTAGGACTCGCAGTCCTGGTTTCGTTTGAAACCCACCCACCCAATTCTTCTAAGCCCTAAGCTTGCTTAGGCCTACCGGACAGTCCTCCAAGCTTGGAGCCCTCCGGACAAGAACTGGGAGCGCGCTCTCAGCTTCATACCAGGGCCCAGACCCGCGGTCTGGCCCTGTTGGCGTCTGTGGACCCGCAGGTCCTTTGATTGGCATTTTAACGCAAGGACACGCTTGTTTTGCAACATTGTTTTCCACAAGGGGGGGGAACATCTCGCCCCTTGTCCTAGGTGCACCGCAGTGCCCTAGGAAAGTGCCACCTTCCCAAGCAACCCGGTACAAAAGGTGTGCGCCTTGCTGTCGGCTTTTGGGTTCTGGGTTCTTTGTGGTTTGAGGCTAGGAGCAGTGCGCGGGACCTTTAACAGGGAAGTCTGCTGGCAAAGCTGGCAAAAACGATTCCAGCCGCGGGTGGCTTTTTAATATTTGTAAATGTTTGGGTGGGCGGTTTAAAGAAGATTCTGTTGCCTAAGAATCAGATGCAAAGCAGGTTTGCAAATATGCACCCAAACACAAGTAGTGCAAGGCAAAACCGATCTGCCACCAACGTTTGTAACTTATGAACCTTCCGACGCAACCTGGAAAAGTCGAATTCTGCGGTCTAACACCTTACCTAACGCATGGCGCTGCTATGCGTCCGCTGGCAGACAAGGTGCAAGCACTCTGTGCAGCAAGTATCTTTTGTGGTTGTGTGTAATGACTGTTGAAGTGGTCTATATTCAATTTGTGTGTTTTTGCTGCCACTTGGCACTCTGCTGTCTTGCTCCTACTTCTCACATGTTCTACGGATGGACGCATTGATCACAGCGCGGTATCATAAACACAAAGTTTCGACCGGCGATTATGCGGCAGGCAGAAGAAAAATCTTCACAAACAATGCTCAGTCTTAAGAGCAAAAGAAGCAGAGCGGCTAAAGCCACTTGTCAGATTCAGCAAATCGTCGTTGTTGCAAGTTCTCAAACTTGAAGAGTTGTTTGTAAAAGACGAAGGGTTGCGAAAACCTGGACATGATGTGAAGCTTTCTTCCCTGTTGCAAGCCAGAGCAACTGTCGATCGTTGGTTTTTAACATTTGAGTTGCAAGCGTTGCAGACAAAGGGGTCAGAATCCTGAATAAGAATGGCGTTGCAGACATGGAGATTGACCGTGTCTGGAGTATGGCTGGAGAAGTGTCTTATTCGCAGCGAAGGGAGATTGTCAAAACAAGGGTCTTGAAAAACAGTGTGTGCAAGTGTGAGGCAGTGCAATGTTTTGCTTGGTCAATTTGAGGAAAAAACAGATGCAACAATTACGACAATGTCAACCTCATGCTTGGTCCTCCACCTTGTTAACTCACAGAGTCGCCAGCCCCGCTGCAGCTCTTCGATGCTGCCTTTAGAGCATTTCTGTAACCACCTGGTCCGGACCTGTAGCTTGCTTGGTTGATGTTCCTCTTTTTGTGTTATTGCGGCGCCCCCTGTTTTTGTTTTGGGCTGGTTGGTGTTTGGTTTTGGGAATCCTTTTCGTGTTTTGCAGCCTTGCTTTGCCGCTGCCGGGGCAGTAGTGCGTTTGTTTCTCACTCTTTGTGTGAGAATTGTACAGTGCGGACCCCCGATACGACAGGCTGCTAGGTGCAAAAAAGATCAGGGTTGGAGCAGTGTGTCTATAACGTGTGTGCTTACCATTTGTTTGGAGTGTGTGCAGTGCTGGGCGTGCGGGGTGCGGAAGTGAGTCACGTCCCACCGTTTGCCTGGAGGGAACAAGGACATGGGCTCGCCGCCATTAGCCATTGAGACAAACGCACCAAATCAAAACCACTATCCTCTGTCAAATAATCATTGTTGCACGAACGCCATGACAAACACAGACCGGACGTGCCTCACAATTTTGGATGCAACATTCTCCACGAGGGAGTTTGAACACGTATTGTATTTGGGATTTTTTTTGTTCCAAACAAGAAACCAACTACTGTACTTGCTCATATTGATAAACATTTTGCAAGCTAGCCGGAAAAAGGCTATCCGGAGAGACATCATATGCTGTCAGAAACGATTCGATGCGCTGCTCCGCCGTCACTACAAGACGCGCAACACATGTCCAAAATACACAGGCAGGTACACTATAGGTGATTGCTCTGATTGCAACTTCCAACAAGATGCATGCATTCATGCACAGTGTTGACTTTGTGCAGTGTGCAGCAACTTTGGCTTGCATGTTCCAAACGAATATGTGTGTGCGTTTTGGTCAACCATTTGACTGCCATTTGCCACGGAGGAATGACATGGTGACATAGCTCTTCTTTGCTGGTGCGCGAGTTACCCTTGGTTTGCAATTCTGGCTCCAGACGGCGGTGTAAGAGGCAGGCTTAGGGCCACGTCCATCCGCTGTGTTGAGTGTGTACAGCGTTATGGAACTTTATCCAAAACACTTTGCCACCCACAGCGCATCCACAAATTTCCTTTCGAAGTGTTGTCACTCACTCATGGATTTCACATCATTTCCTCAACGTTCCAATTGGCACCTATGGTGTACTTCGAATGCGGAGAGTACTGGACTTACATTCGCTGCAACTGTGTAGCCACATCGCAAATGCGCTTGCAGCTTCTGAGGTGCAATGAGACGGTGCAGCTATCTGGAGTTTTGCAATTGCCACGAAACTGTCTTTTTGTCAGCGGCGCCTGTTGACTTTTGGTCTTGCTGTTATTCTGATACACTTGCATGTGCTTGCCGTTTTGATCAGTTGCAGATCCATGCGGGTCTGTGCCAGGTCAAGAAGCCTAAGTTGGCAAAGCATTTGCTGAGTTTGTCGCTTACCAACTTTTGCAAATCAGCCTTGAAGCAGCAGTGAGGAGCGATTGAAGGCGTTTGCTTTACAGCCCATGCCACAGCTGTTTGATGATGTTTGTTAGCTTTCGCATTCGGAAAGAGGCCTTCATGTTTAAAAATAAAAGCAAGAGAACATGGGGCAAATGTCCACAACATGTTTGAGTGGCTTCCAAAGCGGTCCTTATTTGGACCGGCCTCCCCGTTGCAAACTCCTGCAAGTCCTTGAGCAGTGTGAGAGTGGCGTCGAGCGAGGCTGCAACGCAGCGTACGTAAGCTGCATCGACTGCTCGAAGGCGGCCTGTTCAATGTGAACCAGCCAATCGCTTTGATTTTGCACGGACCCGTCATACGTAGGCTCAGCAACCAGGTGAATTCCCGAAAGCATCGCGAAGGGTTCTTCCGTGCGGAGCCCTTGGACAAGTTACATAGAGCCAAGTTACATAGAGCCAAGTTACATAGAGCCAAGTTACATAGAGCCAAGTTACATAGAGCCAAGTTACATAGAGGCAAGTTACATAGAGCCAAGTTACATAGAGCCAAGTTACATAGAGCCAAGTTACATAGAGCCAAGTTACATAGAGCCAAGTTACATAGAGCCAAGTTACATAGAGCCAAGTTACATAGAGCCAAGTTACATAGAGCCAAGTTACATAGAGCCAAGTTACATAGAGCCAAGTTACATAGAGCCAAGTTACATAGAGCCAAGTTACATAGAGCCAAGTTACATAGAGCCAAGTTACATAGAGCCAAGTTACATAGAGCCAAGTTACATAGAGCCAAGTTACATAGAGCCAAGTTACATAGAGCCAAGGTTAGGTAGAGCTTAGAGCTTCGGCGTTAGCAGCTATGTAAGTTAGTTTAGGTTTCTAAGGCGCCGGGGCGGGAGTTTGATCGTCGCTCGGGATTGCGACCCTCTGCGGAGATTCGCGTGGTCGAGGTTCAATAACTGAGGACTTTTTACGATTTCTGCTGGCCGCGCGCGACCCTCTGCGGAGATTCGCGTGGTCGAGGTTCAAAAACTGGGGACTTTTTGCGATTTCTGCTGGCCGCGCGCGACGCTCTGCGGAGATTCGCGTGGTCGAGGTTCAAAAACTGAGGACTTTTTACGATTTCTGCGGTGCACCCTCTGCGGAGATTCGCGTGGTCGAGGTTCAAAAACTGAGGACTTTTTACGATTTCTGCAAGCCGCGTGCGACCCTCTGCGGAGATCGTGCGCGTCGAAGCGCTCTCGCTGTGGCGCCGTGCGAATTTGTCTGAACCCTCTGCGGAGATTCTGCGTGTCGAAGCGCTCTCGCTGTGGCGCCGTGCAATATTCTTGCTCGCGAAACGGCCTTTGGAAGTTGTCTCGTGGTTTGCGCGCTTGCTTTCGCAATCCCGCGGTCGCGGGTTCGATTCCCCCCTGGTCCGCGGCAGCTCCGGCTTGAAAATCGCAGCTTTTAAGTACAAACGTAGTACGCGGAGCGTGCTCCTGCAGCTCCGGCTGGAAAATCGTAACTTTTAAGTACAGACGTAGTGTGCGGAGCGTGCTCCCGCAGCTCAGGCTGGAAAATCGCAACTTTAAAGTACAAACGTAGTACGCGGAGCACACCCCCGCAGCTCCGGCTTGAAAATCGCAGCTTTTAAGTACAAACGTAGTACGCGGAGCGTGCTCCTGCAGCTCCGGTTGGAAAATCGCAATTTTTAAGTACAACGTAGTACGCGGAGCGCATTCCCGCGGCTCCGGCTGGACAATCGCAACTTTTAAGTACAAAAATAGTACGCGGAGCACATTCCCACAGCTCCGGCAGCACTTGCGCAGAGCAACTTGCGCAGAGTCACTTGCACAGAGCAACTTGCGCTCTGCGATTTGCACAGAGCACTTGCACAAAGCACTTGCGCAGAGCACCTTGCACAGACCAACTTGCGCAGAGCACTTGCGCAGAGCAACCTGCACAGAGCACTTGCGTGCAGCAGCGTGCAGAGAGCAACTTGCCCGAAAGCAGCCTGGAACAGTGCAGCTTGCGCAGACCACTTTCGTGAGAAATCATGCAGCGCAACTTGAGCAAAGCACATTGCGCTGAGCAGACTCGCGCAGAGCCACGCTTTATAGAGCCAAGTTGCGCAGAGCCACTCGCGTAAAGTAGCTTGCGCTCGCCAGGTAGCAGCGCGCCAAGTTGCGCAGAGCCATCTTGCGCAGAGCTAAGTTACACGAGCCTGCTTTGCAGAAACATACGCTTTCATGACATAGCGTTTTTCGTGTCTGACTCGGGCAGGAGCCGGTTGCTATTGGCTTGTTTCTTTTTGTTTCGTGGGCAGCGCCGTCCTTCAGGGCGAAGTCACATTTACCTGCAGAGTTTGCAAAGAGTGTTTGGCGCATTTCCACATGCAGCATTGAAGCAAGACTTCTCAGCAACAGCCTTTGCACCCGGCAGCCGTTCCGATAGTTTTTGCTGCGTGCACACTTGAGTTGAGGATCCGCATGAGTTGAGGCTCGGTTTACCTTGAGACATGCTTTTGCTTTTGCGCCGTCGGCAGCATATTTTCGGAGCCCCACATGTAGAGCATTAGGGCAAGACTAGCCAGCAGCAGCTACATTTTCTACAGCTCGCCAGATCGAAGCCACCGCATCGAGCGTGTTGGGCATCGGTATAGTGTAGTAAACCGCCGCATCGAGTGTATTGCTTGCATGGCGCGCGGCGATGGTGACGCGCTGCAGCGGCTGTCCAAGGAGCAGGCAGGGCCCAGACAGGAGCAAGACACAGAGGCACAGGATGCACGTCGCTTCACCTGCTTCGCGTTGTCGTGCTTCAGCCACGCATGTGGAGTTTTGCGGGTTAGCAAGTGAACGCACGAGTGAATGCACGACCAGCGAAGCTTCGGAATTCGATAACATTTGCTATAGGCCAGTCTTGGGCCTAGAGCAGTTCGATAACATTGTGTTGTGTAGTTGTGGCTCAGGATCGTGCGGCCACCAAGTCGCAGCAGCTACTGGACACTCTGCGAGAAGGCTATGCCGCGCGGGGAGCTGGCTGGCTGCGCCAGGAGCTCACCAAGCGGACCGCCGTGCAGCTGCGACAGCTTGCTGGCGCCGCGGACGTGCAGCAATACGAAGCTGGACGCAACCTGCCCAAAGCGGAGCTGCAAGAGAAGGTGGCGCAGCACATGTCCGAGAAGCAGGCGCGATGAGGGAACGACGCCGCGTTGCTCAGTTGGGCTGCTGTTGCTGCGCAGACCTCCTGCGGCGTTGTCGCGTTGAAGCCGATGTCCATGTGGTTTCCACAGCATAGGTCAGTCCCGAGGCATAAAACAATTCGATCACATTGGCTATGCCAGGCCAGTGTTGGGGCATCTGTTGTGTAGTTGCGACTTGCATCTTTTGTGTAGTTGTGGCTCAGGATCCTGTGGCCTCCGAGTCGCAGCAGCTGCTGGACTCTATGCGAGAAGGCTTGGCCGCACGGGGAGCTGGCTGGCTGTGCGAGGAGCTGGCCAAGCATACCGCTGTGCAGCTGCGACAGCTTGCTGGCGCCGCGGGCGTGCAGCAACGTGAAGCTGGACGCAAAATGTCCAAAGCGGAACTGCTAGACAAGGTGGCGCAGCACGTTTCCGAGGAGCAGGCGCGATGAGGGAGCGACGCCGTGCTGAGTTGGCCTGCTGTTGCTGCGCAGACCTCCTGTTGTGTTGTCCCGTTGAAGCCGATGTCCACGTGGTTTCCACAGCATAGGTCAGTCCTGGGGCATGACTATGATAGGCCAGTGTTGGGGCATCTTTTGTGTAGTTGCGACTCGCATCTTTTGTGTAGTTGTGGCTCAGGATCCTGTGGCCACCGAGTCGCAGCAGCTGCTGGACTCTATGCGAGAAGGCTTTGCCGCACGGGGAGCTGGCTGGCTGCGCGAGGAGCTGGCCAAGCAGACCGCTGTGCGGCTGCGACAGCTTGCTGGCGCCGCGGGCGTGCAGCAACGTGAAGCTGGACGCAAAATGTCCAAAGAGGAGCTGCTAGAGAAGGTGGCGCAGCACGTTTCCGCGGAGCAGGCGCGATGAGGGAGCGACGCCGCGTTGCTCGGTTGGGTGGCTGTTGCTGCGTGCAAGTTTACAGTGCGATATGCGCTGCGCTGTTTAGAGACGGAGTGCTTGGGTTCGCGCGCGCTTCTCCGTATTCTGTCGGCCTGAGGAGCCTGCGGGGCATGCCGGCGCCGACGACCGCGTTACCGCAGATGGCTTGCGGCAGTTGGCAGCGGCGCTACGCGACAGGGCGGCCCCAAGTCTTCGGGCCCGACTTCGTGTAGTTCCACTGCGCAACGCTGGGCCGTGTTTACAAGGATTGGCTATGGAGCTGGGCGTCCCGTTCGAGAATATCACCAGGGACACATTGGTTCATAGGATTGTCATGGCCTTGTGCCCGCTGGCTGCTCCAGGCGCTCAAGCGGACATCAAGTACCACGTATGGCGATTGCTTCGCAAGCTGCGTGATGCCGGAGCAGAAACTGCTGAAGCTGTGGCTGCTGCTGCACGGGACATCGTCGAGTCCTCGAACTTGCGCAGGGCTGCGGCGGCGTACTGTTTGGATGTCACCGTGGAGGTCATTGCCCGCAGGCACTGCTCTTCTGCTGAAGAGGCGCGCGCTGGCCTCGCAGGTCGCTGTCACGTGGGAAGACGCTGTGGCTAGCTTGCAGGGAGTGGCGACTCCTGGCCTGTGTGTTCCTTTGCAGCACGCGCTGCTGGCTGCCGTTTTGGACGCTCGCGGTGACCAGCGAGCAGGCTGGATCTGTGTACTGTAATATTATAAGTGTTTTTGTCTGCTGGTTCGGACGTCAAGGGTGCAGCTTGCGTTCTGTGTTTTCTGCGCCTCTTCCTGAAGGGCATGCCAGTCAGGCTGGTGGCGGCTGGCAGACTGCCAGGAGAGGGCAGACCCTGTCGACGTGGCCTCGCGTCTTTGCTTTCTGGCCAAGTTGGACGAAGAGCCGCCTGCTACTGACACCGACGGCTACGAAGATCGCAAGGATGTTTCGGAGGCGCGTTTGCCTCGGCTTGGGTGACTGCTGCGGGTCAAAATCTTGACTTGTCAGGTTCGGGTTTGAGTAGGAAATGAGGGTGGCGTGGAGGGGGGCACACATTTGCAAGCGCAACCTGACTAACGCAAGATAGCTTGCAAGCCCGCGCGAGCTATCCCGCGAGCATCATCACACGCACAGCAGCAACATCGCCAGCATCGCCAGCATCACCAGCATCGCCCGCCTTCGGAAAAACCCGCACGTGCCAGGTTGCAGCGCGCAAGTTTCTCTGTACCGCCTTCCTCCATTTATCGCGGGATGAAGCC